AGCTAACCTTCAGCGCCGTCCGTGAAAAAAAAACGATGGCCTACGGTCAAGCGACTCAGGTCATCATAACAGCGACCCAGAGGCTGAGTTCCAAACCCATCACTGTTGTTCATTTATGTATTCAGCTTCATTAGCCAGTTCCTTTTCTGAAAATTAGCTGAATCATGTACTGAACAATTAATAGATAACGGGAAGTGAAACACTGATTCGATTATTGTTCCAGTTAGACGAAAAGTGTAATCATCGGAGGATCTAAGGTACCGCAAACAACTTCCGATAGGGTCAGTATGGTCGGGGGTGGGTGTTTCGGGTTGCGGCTGGTCACCCCTCCTTTGCACCTCGCGAAATGCTCCCATATGACCAAGCGCCTCAGAAAGCTTCTCCTGAGGGCGTCTTACTCACTGCCTTCTCGTGGCGGAGGTGCTTTCTCACCAAAGTTGGAGGAAGAGGTCAGTGAACAACTGGCAGTTCATCTAGGGGAGTTTACTAAAACCCTGATTCCAAACCAACCACGAGGAGCCATATGAACAACACACCTTACCGGTTGTAGTAGTGGTCACCGGCTCGATTGGGCATCGAGATGTACTGGGCACCTTGGGCGTTTGACCTCGTCCAAAGGGCATGCATGATCCGATGAACAAGACACCGGCCCCCGATGGACCGCTTCGTAGCGTTGTGGGTCAGGCTTTGGCTATGAACTCTCCAAGAAAACTTACCTGCTTTAGCCTGGGCAACTTGGCAGTATTCCGCCCACATGCAAATCATGTGACTTCAATATTACAAGGAATATTGTGCTAGAATTTGTTTGGCACGCAGTCTGGTTTCAGACAAGTGTAAAATCCACACTACAAACGACGCATATTTTCTGATTCGTATAATGGCACGGTTCTAGCACAAAGGGTTTATCCACTGACGTCAAATTGCACTAATAAGAGGCTATCACTCACTTTGGACCGCGTGCGCGTGGAGCCTGCCTTTGATGAATGCGCGGAGTCCACTGGAGATGCCAACAATTTGGCTGCTTTAGCCACAGATTTGTGGTTGATATCTGGGTTCTTGGCGGATTCATTTTCCTTACCCTCATCCTCATCATCGTCATACATCAGACGACGACGTCGATAAGAACGATTGTTTTGATCTTGATTTGACTCCATAGATGTGGCACGCGGTGCTGTCGCGTGAGCGACTACCTTTCCGTGAACTGATTTTCTATGGGAAAAACCGGAGATGGGAAAGAATTGAGCACGATGGACCGTCAGAGTTTGTGCTTTTGTTAAGTATAACTAGATTCAACCAAGAGGTGTTGACCCCGGCAGCACGATTTCCGAAACTGAAGTAGGTCTAAGCAAATAATTAAGGATTAATATGATCCAAACCTAAATAAATACCAAAACTAACAACTTAGCAATTAGATCGATTACTTCACTTTTAGTTTTACGCGGCTTTGTCCCACGAGATGATGAGTCAGTTTCATGAATGTAAAAGTAATGAATAGTTTTGGAGCCCCAGATAGAGGGGGAGGGGTCAGAAGACTCATACGCTTTTGTTCGCGGTAGAGTAGGTTTCTCATGCTCGTGAACGTCAGCTGATGATAAGCCAGGTATGGGTTTCTCGCTTTGACCCTTACCTCGTGTGTAAGAGAGTAAGGGACTGTATTTTTGAAATATCAGTAACATTGACCTTTAATCTCGGAACCTTCACTGGGTTCATGTGGCTTTTGCGGAGAGATCAAGCTGTCTATCCTCTTCCCCCCACGTCCTGGCAATGCTGCCGCTGTTTGTTCACGCCTGTTTAGTTATCATAGTAAACCATGACTAATGCGCGGCTACCCCTGGTGAAGATATTCTTATCCATAACCCGGAGACGGGGCAGGAAGCGTAGAGCTACGTACAACTCTGTGAGACCTGAGTGCCCCAGGATAGACCAGTTGGGAAATCGTGAAGCAAAGCCGTGGGTTAAAGTGATTATTTTAATTCGTAGTTGAAAGTTTTTCGATTTTGTGATTGAATGTAGAAGGCTCACGAGAAAGAGCGGGGAACACACCGTAAGGAAGGGAGTCGATCGCACCACATAAGCCTGGTGGAATAACTGGAAGACCTATATTGACGTTAGGTTGAGAGTATCAGGTAATNATATATATATATATATATATATATATATATATATATATATATATATATACATGCGGTTTTTGGGGCATATATTGTGTATAACGTGGGATAAATTTCCTTCACTTATGATATTCACGGGAGCACGTAGTAGTTGCAAGAAGGCCAAAGGCTTGAGGCAGTAAAAACGTTGACCCCTGGCCATGATTATGTAGATCAAGCTAGGCCTACCGATTGAGGACCTCGAGATTAGCCCCATCGATGGCATTACTCAGCAGNTCAGCAGATGTGCCCGAACAAATGCCAATCTAGCTTATTCGAATCGTGTGTTTTTCCTTTGATACTACACGAAGACAATCCTTTGATTTTAGTCCTACACTTGATTATCAATCGGAAGACAGAAACCAAAACCGGTACACGGAACGATAAATTTATTCGTTGTGCAAAAACCGAAACATTGAATGGCAACAACCTATTGCCTCCGAACTCCTCAGTATGGTCGGGGGTGGGTGTCTACGATTGCGGCTGGTCACCCTATCCTTGCACCTCGCGAAATGCTCGCATACGACCAAGCGTCTCAAACAGCCTCTGCTGAGGAAGCCCTATTCACTGCCTTGTCGTGGCGGAGGTGTTTTCTCACGAAAGTGAGATGACGAAAAGCCGACATCCAGGGCTATAAACAAGTTAGTGGATCACTAGCAGTTCACCTAGGGGAGTTGGCTAAAAATCCTGATTCCAAACCAACCACGAGGAGGCGTATGAACCCTAAACACACCTTCCTGGTTGCCGCAGTGGTCACCGGCTCAATTGAGAATCGAGGTGTATTGAGTACCTTGAACGTTTGACCACGTCTAAAGGGTGTATGACCCAATGAACTGGACACCGGTCCCCAACGGACTGCGGACTCTGAGCTCCCTACTGTCTTGCAGGTCTGGCTTCCTAGTCAAAGGCTTCGGGTGGAAACCCCCGAGGTTATTTCTCTTCTTCGGCCAGGGCTACCGGAAAGTAACATGCTCACACGTTCTTTTTTTTCATATGTTGTGGCACATTTGCCAGTTCTCAACATCAAAAAAAACATCTCATTTTCATTTTCCGTTTTGATAACCATTAACCATGCACTTTCGTACGTCCGTTTTGGCTGCTGAATCAAGACGTCCCATTTGGACGAATAGGGGAGGGAAGACTGATATGTTCAAATCAGTGTAAGAATGAAAAAAAATGAATTGATNGAATTGATGAAGAAAAAGTTCTCAAAGAAACTGGGAAGATGCGCGAGCACTACTGTTTACGACACTCATATCACTAAGTGTTTGATTATGCTTATCCCGATATTTCCATCCAGGAGGCCTAGCGCGACCTGTCAGCAAGCAAGGCTTTTAGTCGTGGTTTTCATACCCTCATAGCAGATATTTCTTTCAGTAGATTAGTACCATAATAGGAAAGAGCTTCAGAGATGAAGTTTCGCATTGGGTTACATGAATTGATCGCCTTATATATGGCAAAACAAAACCACTTCCAAGAAAACAATGTGAACCCGATTAAAAAAACGCATGCGAAGTCACAGCAGTTATATGTCTACAAACCACAGACGGAGATGGCGTAAAATCGAAACATCCACTTACAACGGAGAGAGAACGACCGACGGAGATTTCTCAGCTCCAGCAGGTGTGATGTGTTGGCGCGGTCTGGTATTTTGAGTGAGTATAGTCGTCGGTTTCGACGATTCGGTACGTTGAGCCTCTTTCTTAGCCAGTTCTCGTTGACGTAACTCATTCAGAGTAGGCGGTAAAACTGACATGTTAATCGTTTGATTTGCTGACAGATCGAACACA